TTGAAGGGGGTCTCCCCAAAAACAATGGGTTTCAATACCAAGCTACAGTTGTGACGTAACTGGCTTATATACATAGATAGATAGGTAGATAGATAGATAGATAATTAGATTAGATTAGATTAGATTAGTTAGATAGATAGATAGATAGATACAAAACATGAGGACATTGCACCTCTTTCTTTGGAAAATAACTCAACTTTGGATGCGTGTTGTGAACATGTGCAGGTGCCATTGGCGGTGTTCAAGCCGCCAGTTGGTACAAGGTGCCTGGGATCCCCGTTTGGACCAGTTGGTGAGAACGAACCGCCACGAACCACACCACTTGGTCATTTTTTGAAATCAGGATGATGATGATGATGATGATGATGATCCTTATCATCACTCATCAGAAAACCACAATCATGTTGATTTGAAAAAAAAAACGTCATATCCCTGCATCTTCATCGATCATGAAAGACCAAATGGACAGGATCATCCCCCATGGGGCCTGATCCCAATGGGTTGGTCCAGGCTATGTTGTAGGCCCTACCACTTGATTTATGTTATGCCATGGATATATTGATGAACCATCTAGTTCCCATAATTTACTATACTGTAGTTCTAGTTGTACCCTTCTTGACACACCTAGATTCCATGATATTCCTAGATTCCACGCCAGTGACGTCAGTATTTCCGACGTTCCGACGATCATGACCAACGAGTCACTGGTCCCATCCAACGCCTTGGTCCCATCCAACGCCTTCAGTCAGATTCTCACCAAGCCCCAGAAATGATGTTTGTGATATCACCAAGCATGGTCATAGGTGGTCTATTGATGTTTATTTCAGAGTTAGGAACCACAGCTCTATGATTGGTTATTGGGTTTAAATACCGTTTAAGGCAAACTACCATTCCAACCTTTCAAAAGAAATTGGCATGACGATCCCAGCCGCGCGCGAGCGCTCCGAGTTTTGATCGCTGAACCCAGCCAGACGATTTCCCAAATTTCCAGGCATATCATCATTTCCCAAATTGCCAGAGGATTGAACAGGCCAATTGCCGGCAAATTATTGATACGTTTGAAGCAATTTGGGTATGATGTGTATTCAATGGCCATTCCAGGATCCTAACTTGGAGGTACCTACCATATATAAGGCCTATATAAGGCCTATGTAAGGGAATATCCCCACAAAATATGGCCTTATATGGTGCAGTACCTCCAATTTAGGATCCTGGAATTCCCATTGATGTATAACATGATTATGCATGATCAATTTTGCCCAGAGGGTGGTTGCAGATGATGGTGTTGTGACCCCATTCCCTGAAGCCGGCGCTGCCTGCAGGCACGTAAAGACCGTAGCTGAGACGTTCGGTCGCAGACATCCTTGTAGTTTCCTCGGGATGGGTTAAAACACGAAAACATTTTGGATGCAGAGCCGAACTTTTGAAGTGGTTAGATCGTCTATAGTTTTTTACATGTTTTTGTTCACCATAGTTTGTTTTTTTTCAATATAGGTGATGAATATCAATAAAAGAAAAAGTGTTCCATAATTCGCTAAGGTGGTTCGCAACTAACATTGATCTAGGGTTTGTTTGGTAGATAGATCCATAGTTGAAGGTAATCCAACTTATGGGGGTTACCACCTGGCAACTACCAGCAATTTTTTAGTGTGAAGAGAAGGGTGGGTTGTGATCCATACTGGTAGCTTCCATAGCCATATCAAGGGCCCCAGACTTCACCACTTTTTGGTGGTTACGGTAATGGAACCATGCGCAAACATGAAGTTTATGGGAGAAATATGGGTTTGTCTAGAAATGCGAAATAGCGGTATGCCAAAAAGTGTCGTTTCATGTTGAACATGTTTACAATCCATTGTTTTTTTGGGGTACCCTGTTCTCAGACAAACCCACATGGATATGAGTTCACACCCATGAAATTCCATGGTGAACTTCAAAATAGTCGGTAAGTGCATTTTCATATTTTTCATCCCCCGAAATCAATGGTAAGTGTACTATAGTATATGTAATTGTACTACATGTTCTTTCAGTTTTTGTTGATCCATCCCGATTTTTCAGAACGTCTGTGCGATCTCGCAGCCAGTGGCGAGCGTCGGTCTTGGTGCTGGTGGAAGTTTTGACCAAACTGCAGGGCATGGGCCCGGAGATTTGGTCATGAAGAGCCGTTACCTGATAAACCCACAGTTTGCGAAGTGGAAAATGACAATTTTATAGCTGGGTAAATCAACGAACTAAATGTGGCATTATAATGGTGATTTCTATGGTGATATATGGTAAATCACGGATTTCTATGGCCATTTTCCACGCATTTGCTGTAGTTGACCAGAGGGTAATGTCGCCTGCATACAAGATCTGGAAAAGCCATGGCTCGCCATTTGATCCAGTCATTGATTTGTTTTTGTCCAACTAAGACCTTCACTGCCCCCAGTGGATAATGGTGGTTTAATAATGGTTAATATTGGTTAATGAGATATAACTTGTTGGTGGTTTGGAACATGAATTTTATGACTTCCATTTCATAATTTCATATATGGGATGTCATCCTTCCCATTGACGAACTCATATTTTTCAAGATTGGAAAGAAACCACCAACTAGATGAAAACATCGAGTGTGAGCCAGGAGTCAGGGAGAGGTATTAGCCGATGTTTTTTCAGGCAATGCTGTGATTCATGGCTGACTGAAGGCTTATATGTTGCATGGGATTGTGTCAAAAGTGGATGTACACCCCTTCATGTGGCAGTTTGAAATTGGGAAAATGATGAACAACTTGAATGTGGGGTACCCAAATGTTTGAACCAGCCCAAATGGATGCAAGTGTACAGAAAATTTGTTTAATGTTATAAGCTATAGCCCAAAAATTGATCCTTATTGATCTGATTGTGTTCATATGTATGCACATCTTCATAGTAAGCAAACAACTACTTATGTTCCCTCTCATGAAACTTCCACGCAGTCAACCCTCCAGCCACTCGGTGTGACAACATGGTAAAGCTTAGTAGCGGCCGCATGGCCATTCTGCCGCGGATGGAGAGTGTTCTGATGTCATGGAGGGCCATCCAGCTGTAGGGTGAGACTTTGAGATTCTTGATCTTAGTTTTTGATTGTTTGTAAATATAGGGCATCCCTAAATTTGATGGTCAATCCTCATATTCTCTATGAAAACATTGCCAGGAATGGGGGAATAGCTCATTTCCAGACACAGCTACAATATGCTACAAGATGTTTTCGTATTTCCAAGCAGATTGTCTGAAACCAAGCAGCGTTTCCAGGTTGGAGGGAAGTTGATCCCTCACAACTAGCCGAGCCGCGCCGCAGACGGTCTGGTGAATGTGCAAAAAATCCCAGGAAAGCTTAAGGATGGGTAGTTTAGTACTGTAATAATTTGCTATACATGGAATCTGGATATACACTAAGCAATCTTTTTGAAGGACTCTAAGTTTGGCAATGATACCTGGAGTGAAGATCCTGAATCACTAATGGTCTACAGACGATCTCCGTCTCTTGGCAGCGTTGACAGGGCACGAATACAGCTCGTTTGAATGCGAAAGGCCACACCAGAGGGCCATTGTCCAGCACTGCCAAAGGCAAGCCGCGAAAAAGCTAAGTAAAGCGTTCCAGAACCAATGTTTGCTGGCTGGTGGTTTCATGGGGATGTTACTGACGAGAGTGAGACGTAACCACAAGATATCGAGGATAGTTGAAGGGTGATCCCAAACCATCCAGCAGTATTCACATCAACGGGGCAGCTTTGGGGCCTAGCTGATGGTTTCAAAGAACTTGTTTTGGTGTTTAGACCATAGAGATCCCTCATGAATCAGCTGGGGATTCTTCTGATGATCTGCAAGAGGAAAATATTGCAATAATCTCCAATTATCTTTGGAGATGTCAGGGTATGTTTGGAGATTTTGAACATGATACAACTGATACAACCAGAAAAAAATGGGAACATACAATCTGGAAGCGTGGGAACTTGAGCACATTCTCTCCACATTCTTGCGATGGTCATCCGGGTAAGGTCTGTGGCTTCATGTAACCTAGTGACTCTAGTGGCTCTAGTGATAGAGGGTATATGTGCATGAATACCATATTTGAATACATTTGATGTGTATTACACAGCGGACTGACCCATGAAATCCTTTCAATTGCTACTTAAGTCAGTAACGCGATGATGGTCCCATGTATTTTGATCTTGTTGGTTGAAATCACAGAGAAGGAGCTCAACCATAGAAAAGGGTAGATTGAATATGCATAATAGTTATCCTCTGTTTATTTAACATAGCCATGGGAAATGGCCCATTTACAGATGGTTCCCCTATTAAAAATTGTGATTTTCCATGGCTATGTTAAATAACCAGATGGTATCATTTTTTCCATTTATATGGTTATAATTACCATAGAACATGAATTCCTTTCCTCCATCAATAAATAATTTGCTTGAGCCCCCAGTGACTTTTTATGGGATTGACTCATCTTTAGATTGTCCGAAAACAGGGCAGTTCCATCTCATGGTTGGGAGCATCGATTTCATATGACCATCATTGTTGTTCTATTCTGGCATGTCTAGGACAAACATCGAATCCAACGTATCTTAGCTTTAAATGAATTCATATGTTATATATATATACACGTATATGATGCTTGTATTTGTGAAATTTATGTTGATATGTGCGACATATCCCATGGGCCTGTGGTATATTCCACCATATCTCCATAAGCTAAGCCGGTGACATCCGAAGTTTTGTATGTTTGTTATAGGTAGTTGTTGGTTCATATATGTTCATATCCACTGTATATGTTTAATGGATTGATTCCTTCTGTGCAAACCATATGGCTTTACTGCCAAATAATTATAGGGTGCTACCTGCATGATTTTCTCTTCAACTAATTCTGATATATTTTTATATATTATATAAGATGATTAATTAAATCTTAGCAGATTTGAATTGATGAAGAGTCACTTACCATCTATTGCGAAGAATTCGCTTAAGTTTTCTCGCCCCAGGACACCTCGCCCACCTCGCCGCCCTCGCGGAAAAACGCCGCGCCGCTTGAAGCACCGGCATCACGGCGTAGGTGCGGGGTGGGAAGGGGGGAAGCTTCAGATTTGAACCGTGAACCGAATGAGGTGGCTGAAATATTAGTTGATATATATATATATATAACTCATATATATATACATAATTATAATATGATATTAAAGTTCCAACCCTCCCCAACCTAATTTATTTGAAAGAATTTGAAAGAAAGGGCTAGTGGTTTGGTGAGATTTCGTAGCTTTTCAGGATGTTTCATGGTACAATCCAAACATCCAAACAGTAGCAACTTGTACTCAATATATGGGAAATCTGATGGGCCCTGAGGAGAAATCGCTCTGGAAGCCCCACTCCTCCGCCGAAAGCGGCGTGCCGCGGCTGAGCTCGGCGGGGATGAACCGTGACATTTAGGTGACCATCGCATACCATCACTGGTTGGTGGTTTGGAATATGTTTTTATTTTTCCATTTAATTATTGGGAATAATAATCCCAAGTGACTAATATTTTTCAGACGGGTAGGTATACCACCAACCAGATCACACTGTTGGGGATTTGATACCGGGATTAATCCATCGAGTAAGTATATAGAAGGATTTAAGATGGTTTAGCCCAGCAACAAACATGGTGGATTTAGTCTTGAACATGCTAATTAAACCGGTACATGATACAAATACGGGGGTTTAACTTACGACCTCCGGTCAGTTTTACAATAGGAAAGGGAAAAAACCGCTGGTGTTTCTTTACTAATTTAGAGATTGGGACGCTATGGTGGCCCCATTTTTTTCAATGTTTTTTTTTTTGCGTTTTTGTGTTATTTCTATATGTCCAACGTTTCTTTCATATAACAATAATTGTCCCTGAAGAATCCTTGAAAAACATCAGATAGTGGTGAAAATCAGTCGCATCCTGGTGCATCCCTGTTGCAAACATTTTGTTTATGTAGAAAATGTTGACAATACCTTGAAGTAAAACATCTCTCTCTTCCAAAAGCATGTCTAGATGCAAAGCCCTTGACACTGAGCCATGCCATATTTGGGATACTGTGGTAAGCCCAAGAAGAATAGGATATGGCTCTGGCCCAGAACTGTTTTACCCTGGTCAAAACCAAAAGTGATGATGCATGGAATGTAAGGATGTTCATTTGTCCCAGATGTACTATAATTTATAATAGTCCCCTTGAAGGTAACGTCTTTTTTTGACAACATCGATATAACAAGATTGGCTCTTGTTTACTGGGTCTACCCGCTTGAAAACATGCCATTCGACAGGTTTTTCCCAAGAAAAGGTGGTTCATTCGTTTGATTGCGCACCGGCCCTATGTCGCCAAAACCGTCCCGAAATGATGGTTTTTTAATGTTGTTTACGGCAACGGGTTCACACGATTTGGTGGTTTCAAACATTTCTTATTGCCAAGCATATGTGCGATGATGATCCCATTGACTAGTTTTTTTCTTTTTCGGAGGCTTGGAACCACCAAAGACTTCTATGGGTGTGTTTGAAATTGGGTTAAATCTTCCAAATGGCTATTTCATAGGACACATATGGGGAAAAAAACATATAAGAAATCATCACATCAAATCTTGGAGTATCTTATTTTCAAACAAGCCCATCTTCCTTGGTTTATGAGCCATTTCCACAGCAGCAACAAACTCAGGCCGCAGCTGACTTCGGAAGATGTGGGAACCATGGGCCGCTTGGAAAGACTTCGGAGACAACAGGGATATGAATAGCAAAAGAAACAAATTGTGTTGTATGATGGTTCATGGTGATATAGTAGCGATGTATTAATATATATATATATATGTTATAATTATATATAATATAGTATAATTATAATATTAGATATATTATATATATAATAACATATATATATATATATTATTATTATTATATTATAACTATATATATATGTGGGTAATTATATGTAATTATGTTTATAATTATATATACCAGGAGCTTCAAAGACCCAAAAAAATGTAGGTCCAATGAAAAAAAACTCTTTTTTCGAGAAAAAACTGGGTTTGTGTAAAGAACCAATATTTTGTTTTTTGTTGGATTTGCGCAAATTTGTCCAAATCGGGTGGACCTGTATCAAATTTCTCCTTATTACATGTAGCAATTTCATACTGACAACTTGTGAAATCTGTCAGACAGAACGCGTGATGGAAACCGAAGCAAGCGTTATCAGACACGATGCGCGCATTCTCCACCGGCTGCAGTTGCCTCCTATGCTGCGAACTTTCCCTTCAGCGGAACTGGAGGTAGTCAAAAAGTCACAATGGATATGCATGGCATTTCAAAAGTCAGCTTTCCAGATATGAACCCAGTAAATTGACAATAGCTCCGGTAATCTGCGTTGTTTTCTTTTTGTCTAGATCCGGCAACTACCGGTTCGATCTTGCAAAACCACAAGCGGAGCCTTAAAACTCGACATCGCGCCGTCAATTCGCAGAAGCAAACAACCCATATTTTGAGTACGGGTTAGTATGGGTTAAATATGGGTTTAATTGGTTCCAAAAAACCGTTTAATTACTTACTATTTTATCAGAATATGGGTTTAGTAATGTTGTCTGACCAATAGTGATATCTTGTCAATAGTAGAAACATGTTTCCGCAACTCCAATTTTTCTCCAATACTAAAAGTCAATTAGCTCTATTTACTTTTAGTATTGCCAAAAGAGTCATGTTCAGACCTTGCCCAGAGGGCATGGCAAATAGTGGACCCAACATGGCAATAGTGGAAACTTTTTTCCCAATTCCAATTTTATCTCCAATACTAAAAGTCAATTAGCTCTATTTACTTTAGTATTGCCAAAAGAGTCAAGTAAAGCAAATCCTTTTCAAAGCAGCCTTCACTTTTGATTAGCAAAAGCTTAGATTCCAGAAATCTGATCCAATTACCAAACAGCTGATTTCCTTATAAAACCCTTATTAAAAAAAGCAAAAAAACAGGTCCACAAAGGGTACCCCCTTTGCAAGCCCCAGAATAGCAATAACAAACCTGCACCAGGCATGGCAATAGTGGAAACTTTTTTCCGCAACTCCAATTTTGTTGTCCTCCTTCTCCTTCTCCTTCTCCTTCTTCTCCTCCTCCTCGTCCTCCTCCTTCGCCTCCACCAAATCCATTCAGAATCTTTCAGAAACCCAACAAAACCATGGAGAATCTATCAGATACATATCATGATTCCAGCTATAGATTCCCAAAAATTATTATAGGAAGGTTGACCCCCCCCTCCTAAAATAAAAATAAAAATAAAAAAATAGGGGGGTAATTACTATTAGGCAGCCAACATTACGGGTTAAATATGGGTTTAGTACGGCTTAGCACGGCTTAAATATTGGTTTTTGGCATTTTTGGGGTACAGACCCTAAAATTGTCATCCGAAATTATTAAAAACTGAAAATGCCGATTGATTTTTCTTCGGCTGTTTGTTGGACTTTGGCAATGCAGAATCATTTTTTCCCAATGTGTTCTAAGAAAATATGTTCTAAGAAAAACCGTTTTTTTTTCATAACTGAAGAAAAAACTAGGTTTTTGGGGAAAAAAAACTACAAATTTGTGGGTTCTTGAAGCGCTAGGTATATATATATATATAATTATATATATATATATATCATTTAATATAACGATATTCATGGGATATAATGGGATCGATTTACAGTATCTAACGACATGGTTTGATATGATTTGGGTTGTTCTGATATCCTGAAATGAGGGATACGCCGCCGTTAAACATGGAAGGCATCATGAAAAACCACCGGATTTTGGGTTATCAATGAAATATCTTGGACCTGGGCAACGTATGCTCTGCATTGTCTTCCCACATTTTGGAAGGAGCTGCCGCAACCTTGGCATCCGCATTTTGAAGATTGCCCCCCTGACGCGAAGTTCAATGAGACAAAGCACTCCTTGAAGTGCAGGAAGACATGTTGGAGGTCATAAGACTCTTTCAGCAAGACATTACCGATGATAACAGGAACCACGATGGAGAGCCCAACAGAGGCACCAGATACCTCGTGACGGACCTCGTGGCCGATTCCGACGGAGATTCCGTGCGTGCTCTTGGAAAGATACGGTATCTATTGCGTAAGCCAACATTGCCACTCTTATCCTCATTAGCCAGAGTTTGTGTGTTTCATTGGGTTTCATTGGGCGCCTAATCGCGCAGGTTCCGGGTAGGTTTGGGGTACGTAGTTTCTGGGCATAAAATGACAACCTCACCATGATCTCACCATACACTTATAGCAATGGCAAACAACCCCAAAAATTGTTTCTGATTTGGAGAATTTGATGGTAATGTAATGCAGCAAAAATATGCGTTGATACTGTTTGTTTGCAAGGATTTGTTTCACGGCTAAAAACCTTGGTCATGGATTGTGGAGTTGTCCAAACATCATGGATTTAACCCAGAGCTACTTTTTGTTTGGGAAACACCCTGCGTTCAACCATTGGAGTTTGGTGGACTTTGGTAGTTTGACGGTTTTTCCTATAATTTTCAGACTAGCATCTGGTTATTTAACATAGCCATGGCATAGATGGCCCATAGAAATAAATGGTTTACCGTTCTTAAAAATGGTGGATCTTTCCATGGCAAACTGTTAGTCATAACCAGATGGTAAACCATAGAAATGGTGTGTCTCATTGCGATTAGTTGGCCATTCCGAAGATGCCCTGGGGCCGCCCTTCGTCTAAGACGTGGAGCGGATCCGACAACAACTCAAACCGGGCCTGGGGACGGTCCTGCAGGCGACCCGTTGTGAACAACAGGTGGAAGACATGGGAACACAAGGTAATCACAAGAAATCGTACTTGTCTCTCTAATATATAATATTGATAAATGGATATAAATGGAGAATAGAATTATATGATTATATATATATGCATAATTATATAATATATATACATCTAATATATAATATATATATATGTACATATTTATAGATTATAGCGCGGTATCTATGTAGATATCCATCCAAATCTATCCGTACCTATCCATATCTATCCATGTACCTAATTTCACTATTTGTGTATCTGACTACCTGTTTATTTGGCTCCTACACATGTTTTTTTGTGCTTCGAGTGGTATGAACAAAAACACTAGTACGCGGATCATGGTGATGTCCGGAAATCAAACCTTGCCATGGGAAATGCCTCACTGACAGTTTTTTTTTCCTAAAAAAAATGGATATTCCACATAGCAGCAGCAGTGATTCAGAACGCTTCAGATATGTCCAGATCCAACAAAGGTTGGATTGACATCTGAAAAACGCCTAGCTGGTTGGTGGTTTGGAAAGTCCAGTGGTTGTTAATAGCGGTTAATAGTGGGTTAATAGTGGTTAATGACATATATCTGGTTGGTGGTTTGGAACCATGGAATTTTATGACTTGCCATTCAGTTGGGAATTTCATCATCCCAACTGGACTTTCACTCCATCATTCTTCAGAGGGGTAGGTCAGCCACCAACCAGCTACTGAGCAGCTGGGCGATCGTATCTCCTCCATGTGGTGAAGAAGAATTTCCCCATGATTTGATCTAGCACCTTGGTAGGGTATCCGATATGGTGGTTAAACCACCATTTTATATACTGTAGACCCATGGGTGTTTTTAGCGATGAACACACATATCAAAAGCTGTTGTAACATATCAAAACGGGAATGAAGATCCATCAACTGTTCAACAAATTTGATGTTCATAAGGGTATATTGGTCGTTGAACTACCCATCAACATGTGTGAATAAATGTATGCATTATTCACATTTTGTATATTTGGATGTTAATCAAGTTTTTGATGGTTTAATATTCCTTTAATCTGATCCCTGTGGTTTGGGGTCCCTACCACACCAGGAGGCCTTCAAGCCGCGCGGCCGCACCTCGCGGCGCTCCACGGGCGCCCTTCCAGCGTGGGGAGCTTGGGGAGCTTTGGCGATGCTCTGCATTTGGCCATAGAAAATGTTTAATGGGTATTTTTGTTTTTTTTTATCATGTTTTTATCATTGACCATTATCCTACTATCACTGATGAATAACATTATCACACCATTATCAAACCACTATCTAATAAATTGATCGACAGTATTAATAGGATTAATATTAAGAGTTACTATTACTAGGGTTGATGTATATATATATTATATATATATATTTAATAGTTACAGGATAAATGATAGTAGACATTGACAATTTTTCCATTATTAGATAAATGATAGTAGGATAAACATCTTAATCATTAACATTAGACCCTGGCAAATTCACCCTGATAGATGAATTTACCCTCTGGTAAATTCACATAGACCCTGAACATCGTCAATTTCTAGTGAAAATGATGAATGGATATGGATTACATAATAATATTAATAGTTTTATAATGGTTAATGAATATGAATGGATAGTGATAGATGACTTTTGATTCATATGCGAATGAAATATGGTTAAGCCATAGTTATTAGATTATAAAACCATATGGAACATGATAGATGAATTCATATGGGAGATTCCAGAAATGGTGGATTATGAGCCATGGGAGTTTCCTAAAATGCTGGAAAAAAATAACCGTATATATATATATTATATTTAAATTTCAATATGTTTCAATGGTCATTCATGACTTGGATGGAAAAACCCAAATTTCGTTTTTATAGGGGAATCATCCCCAAGATAGCCTTAATTCAGGTTTGTGAAATATTATATTTTACCCAGATTGCACATATGGTTGGTTATAGTTACAACTATCCGGTGGTTAAGAGAAAGCGGTTCGGAGCTATGGTTGGTTGTATCCATATTCCCCATAAATTATGATGCCGGAACAGAACAGTAGACTATATAATGGCCATTTCAGGAACCCCAATTGGAGGTACCTACCAACATATCCATACATACGGCCTAGGTAAGGGCTATTGAAGGGACATGTGTCACAAAATATGGCCTTATTTGGTATGGTACAGTATCTCCGTTTCAGGTACAAGCCCATCTCATCATATATGCATATTACTTGAATAGGATTTAAATACAATGGTGATTTAATGGGTTTGTACAGGAAAATCCATGAAAATCCCATCCCCCTAGTGTTTAAATCCCAATTTTATGATCCCAAATATGTGGTTTCATCATGTTTGCCCCTGCTTTTTTTTTTACCATTGTTTCTGGGGGGTGTTTACTATTGACGGGGGAAGGGATTATATAATTGTGTGAAACCAGGCATAATAATGGAGATACCAAACAAACGATCCACAATGTAGATGTGAATGGGTGATATAACCGATCTGTTTTGATATACGAAATGGCAATTAGGGGTGCTTGTGTTCTAAAAACACCTTTGATAGTGCTATCATCGGGATATTTTCATGGGATATAGTCTATAGTGGGAAAAAAACAACAATGTGTTTCTTAGGTGTGCCGGAAATTGGGTATTCAGTCAACATGTACATGCTTATAGGGACTATGACTATGATGATTCTACAACTTGTAGCTTTGGGTGTACCCTATTTCCGTACGAAACCATATTCCCAGACACAACTCAGTAAAGAAACATGTTATCATTATAATTTAGCTATACCCTCTGGTTATTTAACATAGCCATGGAAAATCACCATTTTAATAGGTAAACCATCTATAAATGGGCCAAAATAACCAGATGGTAATTAAGGATCCTGTTCCTCACAGAGGTGAAGTGTATAAATCAGCAGAGGTCAACTGGTTTTGAGTTGCAACCATGATATCTCCATAAAATGGTGGATTGTGTATCTCCACGACAAAATCCTATTCAATCACCTCTTAAATGTACAGTTGTGGCCCTATGAATGGGAGCATACAATATTTGAATTTTGGATGATATATGTACCATATATCATTAGAGACGAAAATTCTCCAGGCTCCCTGTGACCGTTCGATCACGCCCTTGTGATGGTTATGGAGTTGATTGCTCCAAGATGTGCACAGTTCCAGAAGCGCGAACTATGGAAGGAGACGCCGCGCTTGGTGATGAAACTTGGACACCAGAAAGATTCTTCACCGGGATCCACCACGACTATGCCTTTGCTCAGAGGACTGCCAATGACTGGAGAAGATGGTGTGGCATCGATGAGATCTCTTCATCTGGCAGCTACCTACTATGGTACCTTGCCTGGGCAAAGCATGAAAATGGTGCTACTGTGTGTGAACCATATATCATTATAATCATTAGAAGTCACTTATAGCTGTGAATGGCAATGTCCAAGCATTATTCAATCCATTCATCAAAATATTGATAGCTAAGGCTTGATCTTATAGCTGCTATAGCTGATAAGTCACATTTCTAGCTGCTATAGCTAAGGCTTGACTTATAGACTTATAGCTGACAAGGGCTGCTATAGCTACATAATTACACATCGCTTCACTCCCCGTTTCTTAATCCCCATCCGCATGGTCCAAGGCCAAACGACTCTGGCGACCTGTTGGCCAATGCGGCGGAGTTACTCCTGAGGAGCTGGTAATCGGTGACGCCGCATGCCGCGTGACGCGATTTTTGGAAAGAGCACCTAAATGTGGCAAAAGGTGGAACATGTGGAGTTATGTCATATGAGTTTGTCAATATATGAAGATTTAAGCAGGAAATGCAGAAATGATATTTCAGCAACTAGTGTGAACCAATCACCTACATGCAGTGATTTGTGGTTTAAGATGAGGATTTCACCACCATAACTGGTGATTTTTGTGATCTTCGCTGTCACCATGACCACATGAGGTCGCCGGCAAAGAAGCGGTTCTGGTGGAATATTGAGAACAGAGCCTGAAACGAATCATGTTGGTAGTGGAGAAAGCACACCTGTCAGTATCTCCAATTTTGGGTTGATTGAAGAGCCCCCAAACCCAGACACGCCCCAATCGAACTGCAGGAAAAAACAAGAAGCCAAAGAAGCAGAGCAATCCAGCACCCCTCCAGCCACCGTCTTTGGGCTGCAGTGATGCAATCGCCGCATCGACCAGCTGTGAATCATCAGAATCATGTTTTTTTTGTTGTGCTTTGTATGTGAGCAGTGACCTGTTGAACGTTACCTTCCAGTAACACAACCTTTAGTGACATTGACAACAGATATGTCACATATATCCAAACAATGGATCAAGTGTTCGCTTTTTTATCATGTTCCAGGCCGGGGATGACCATGTGATCAATATGTTTTGGGATGGTCTTTAATAGTATACCCTCTGGTAAACATACAAACAACTATGGAAAATCACCATGTTTAATAGGTATACCATCTATAAATGGGCCATGTCCCATGGCTATGTTAAATAGCCAGAGGGTACAATGTTCGTAAAGGAGTAGGTCACCATCCCAATTCTACAATGGTTGACTCCCCGTGGAGCTGAAACATCCGAAGTGTCATGAAGTGTCCCAAGTGAACCTGTGGAAAATGTGGAACATTTGATGACCTCCCATCATGAAGGGTGAATTGGAGGGGAATCTATCTACCCAAGTGTTTAAATTTGTTAAAATCCCAAGGCAATATGTTCATGATGTTGCAACAAATCATGAAACAAAATAGTACAATAAGTCTTCAAGTAGGAGTCTGAGTATCTATATCATCCGATTCGCTCGTTTGTGACATCATGTTTGCTCGTCGTCTCACCATTGCTTCCCCGTTCTGTTTTTGTTGTTTTTTTTAAACCCCGTATTTTAATCCGCTAAACCGCCATCTATACCATAGCTGTGTAGCAAATTACCAGATGGTAATTTTCATTACGAACCATCATTAACATTCATTAACCAGTATTGACCATTATTAACCAGGGTTTTCCCTACCATAGTTAACCAGGATTATCCCATAGTCATCAGGAAATTCCGTTGCTCTCAGGATTCCCTGCTCTATGACGTTTCTGTGAAGCTGCGCGAGCATGCTGCCCAGGTGGGCCATTCTAATGCCGCAACAGGGGATATTTGTTTGAGTATGCTGCCATAGATGGGATAAATAATGATCTACAATGAGATAATATATTTACATATATACGTATATTTATATATATATATATGCATGAATAATATATAGATATATATATATATTTACATATACGTATATACCAATATGTTTGCCTTAAATGGGTACAGTATCCAACATTGGCCATTATCTGTATATTATGTATATATATATGTATTATACACACGTATCAACATATATCCAGGATTGTATATTATTAACATATAAAGTTCTTTAAGATGGGGGATCCCTGGGTGCATTTGTTTGAAGCAACCATTTGGGGTCACCAGCATTTTTGCCTATGTGGGATGATAAAACACTTATGTGTTGTTCGTTTGTGGGATTCATGGTGATAGCTCCAAGTAGGTGGATGAAAGCCAAAGACACAAAGCGTTCGAGGAACAGGCATGATACACAAATAAAAAACTGATCGCTTTGCCTTTGACTTCCATTCCCATATTTGCATTTTGTTTTTTCCGTAGCTTCCCTGTCTTGGTTGCTACAAAACATGTTTTTTCCTTAGTAGCTCGGTGTTTTTTTTGTGATCCAAAAATATGAAGTATAGCCTCAAATGACCATTAATAGCCACTTCACTGCTCAAAAAAGAAACAACACATTCAACATGTTAAGACCGCATGGCACGCGCTGAACAATGCGCTGGACTTCTATTCGCCAATCCGGAATGTGGATTGATTGGGGGGGAGGCTTGTAATGTGGAACAATCAATACTATGATAGTACTATGATAATAATATATATAATATTATATAATACCAATGACAATGATCATGAGAGAATATTGTTACATGTTGTAACATGTTGTACTAAAAAAAACAATGGCAACCTTAGCAACATGTATAAATGTATATATATATATATAAATATAGTTATATATATACACTATATTATCACCATATTAATCGATAAGACTATTCCTGTTCATATAATATAATAACATTCCATCCCACATTTAACCCAACGATTTTGCCATTTTTCTAGTGCCATTTCTTTGCATCGCATCAGGTGGCGCAGGAGGAGGCACGGCCTGCCGTGCAGGAGCCGCGCCGTGAGCCGATATGATCATGATGTGTTACCGTTACCTATAATATGTTAGGCGAAGGTAGTGCCAAGCTGGTGAACCATAGCTAATATGACCGTGGTTTATGGTAGATATAGCTGCAGAGAATGATGGTCATCAAACCAAATAAAGATGAAATATTGAACCACACAAATCTCAGAGGTCTCCAAGTTGAGGAGACTCATGGGAGGCAAGAGTCTGACTATCGGAGATGAGGTGCCGGTGACAGCACCCGACCACTGATGTGATCTCGATGCTGAAACACCCATGGTGGTTTCTGGTGGCTTTCAAGTTTAAATTTTAGCGCTTTTAGTTTTATGTGTGATTTCGAGAACCATCTCCATTTGGTTTGACGTTTAATAGACTTATAGTGCTTACAGAGCGTTTCATGGTTTGATAAAACTATATTTCAGAGGATGAGGACCAGTTGACGTTGCTTTCCACGTGTTTGGCCTTTTTTGGGGCCCCACATGTTTTTTGCTTTGTACATTACACCCCAAAAAGATAGAGACAAGTTATTGATCACCATCATTTTAGTAGGATTTTACTGTCACTCTTCTATCTTTTTGGAGGTATTTTTTTCTGATTATATATTATGTATAATTATAGCATATATATATATGTATTATGTATATAGTGTGTATATATATATATAGTATATATATAAACATAGTATATATGTATTTATATATAAGTATAGACAATATATGAAAAAAAAACGAAGGCCATCCCCTCAATGCATTGGTTGGGAAAATCTGCGTTTTCCCATGAAACTATAGGGGTTCCTCTAAAGTTTCCCTCACAACAATCCATTGATCCTCAGGACCAATCCTTTGAAACTAAAGAAAGAAAGGCAGCAGAGGCAGAATGGGAGCCAAGCCTGAGGCGGTTTGATGCTACCATAGATGTGGAAACCCCCATGGGGAAAGCTGTGGAGAATGATCCACAAAGTTTCTGTTTTCCACATCATCACATCTATGTCTATGTTACCCTCTCATTTCTAACCTATAACATACGGAACATCTCCATTTTCCAGCTGGGTCAATCCACGACATTTCGACTGGGCCATGGCTTCAAGTTCGCTATAACTTGACATAACCAGGTTGGGTTTGGATCGTCCCACGGACGGTTAGCTGGGCTTAGTAAGCTCTGTGGGATGATCCTCCCCCTGAAAAGATTGAATGGGAAAATATGAAATACTAAAGCTGGTTGGTGGTTTCAAACATGACTTTTATTTTCCATAATATATGGGATGTCATCCTTCCCATTGACTTTCATATTTTTCAAGATGGTTATTGCACCACCAACCAGAAAGTCATGGTCAAATCCTGTTCGATGTGTGTTCGACTTGTTGTGTTTCGTGGCTTCGAAAAAGAGGTCATGGTGTGTCATGGTGTGTGCACTTTGGTCAATTGATCAGATCTCAGGTGGCAGCTGTGACGTTGTGAAGTTCGCCGACCCAAACATAGGGTGTCCTAAGTTCAACGAGACGACTGTGATATCTCGAACTTTGGAACCACATCAGCAGCCTATCCGTGGTGCCCATCTTTTCTGCGCGAGGAGGAAGCGCTTCTGTTCCTCCTTCTGAAGGGAGGGGCTATCAGGGAGATTTGCATCCAATGTTTCCAGAAACTCTCTGGGGCTCTGTGGAAAAGACTTCGCTGCAAAGTTCGTGTCAAGCAAGATGCTGGTTTGACAATTTCTGGGTTTTGTTTTTAGCATCTAGTTCTTGATATCGTTTTGGTGTGTTAACCCGCTGGGGCTTATGTCTTCATGAGGAGGCCCAATGTCATGACACCCAATGGGATGATGCTCCTGACTTGTCCACTGACCCGTCTGCCTCGCCTGGATGGCGACATTGCCACATGCAGACCATGATGGTGAAGGCGGAGGTCTTTCGGCTGGAGGCGTCCTTCGGCTCCCAGTCGATCAAGGTCTACTATGAAGATGATGCCGCCAGGTTTTCGTTTCCATGGTTACTATACCTACATTGAGTGAAATGAACTTGTTTTTCTTTAGTGGGTAATTCTGCTAAATATGACATTTGTCTGTAAATGTTGTTCCTTCATGGTGTTTGCTTCATGCTTTATTATATACATCGATAAACCAAAAGGCCCACGGCCGGCCGTAGCCTGAACGACCTCACTGCGACGTCACTGGGAAAAATGGTTTGGATTCGGGAAATCATCCCCAAATGGCCGCAAGATTCAGGTTAGTGAAATATTATAATTGAGCCAGATCAATGCTTTTAAATGGATTTTAATGGTTCCTGATGATTATTTTGGTGGCTACTACTAATTAGTAGTTTATGTGGTAAACCCAGAGTCATAAATCATCCCCAATAGAGGTTTCTGGCATTGGGATGGGATGCTGTAAAATGACACCCAAAATGGTTTTGTTGCGGGGTTTACCACATTGGAGACCGGTTCAAAGGAATGTCACAATCTTCGGGCATGATCTACTTAATCTACTTGGTGTTGTCTTGAGGTTCTTCTTCAACATGTTGCTATTATCAGTGGCAACATATGCAACTTACCAACTATATTGAATTGTCTATTGTGTTTGTGTGGTTTCTAAATTTCGCGATGTTTTCTTTGAGTTTTTTTTCCCGAACTTGGAAGACCAGGGGATGGATCCAAACACTAAAGGACGACCCCACCGCGATGGCCCATTTGCAAAAGATACACAAGAAAAGACCGAACAACCACTGAGTACATGACCAGCTGATATGAGCAAAAAAGCAACGGACCAACAAAGACAGGACAGGTATGTTTTTTTGTCACAAAGGTATTTCTTTAACTCTAAGCCTTCTATCGGGCCGACAGCTTTTCCTTGGCATCAATCATTTGGGCTAGGACGGATTAGCAGCTGAGAAAAGGAAATTGGAGAAGGAAGAGGAGGCATGGACTTGATTTGCATCAACTACTTTAGAGCGCTGTTGGAGTTCTGACTGGGTATTACTAACCATGGAAATATCCACCATAACGTGTCGATACAAAGCGTATAGCTATGGTGGTGACAAATACCCACTTACCAACTGAAACTGTACCCCCAACAGCTTGCAGCTTGATTTCATGAACCCAACCACGGGACGAGTGAGGTCCTAAATGGACATAGAGTGACCAGCGCAGTTTTGGTTCATTACCAGACTTTTTTATGCAGGAAAGAATCAAAGAAGCCATAGAAACTGAGAAAAGAAAGAAAGATGAGCAGGAGGCGACAGCTCGTGGCAGTATTGGCAGGTTCTCGTGTGAAACAACTATCAGTATCCCAAAGGACATATCCCCAAAACCAAGGTTTGGCCTCAACAAATAAGGCCTTGTGATGGTGCTGCCAGGGAAGAATCAGAGCTGCGATGGAAGCCGAGAAAAGACAACAAATGGAAGACGAGGTGCCGCTAGGGGAGTTGCCCAAACCATTCAGTCATCACTTTTGCTTTTGTCAAAAAGGGTATATACCCATTAAAAATCCACTAACTAGTCATCCGTAGTAGAATGGACACAACTGGCGGCCCTTCTGGACTTCTCTTTGTGTCAATCGCATTGGGGAGTTGACGACACTTAGGTCAGTCGAAAGGTGCATTCAAGTTATGGAGTGGCGGGAAATGGGTCATTTGATGGGGGTTCAATCATAGAACAATTGAGATTTAATCATGAACAGTATGGATACAATTGGTATGATTAGGGGGAATAGCCAGCAAAACATTGACATGTCTGCGTGGGATACACGATTAGTCATGCACATATTTGCGCTGAAATGCACTGCAGGCGACATTCAGCGCCTTGTAGCCTTTTGATTTAGCGCTTAGTTGAGATTTGCGTGTGTTTAACGGGAGTTTGTGCGTATACATGCGTATACCCAGCAAAAACATGCAAAAACATTCAAAAGGCTTCTAGATATTAGTCGCACTGATTAAAAAACATGAAAAAGCATGAATGCAGGGAAGCATGGTTTTCTTGAACGTGCACATGTTCTGTTGATGATGTCCTAATCGAAGAGACGAAGAGCATGAGGGATTCTTTTCACCGCAGCCTGTCGAGGAACGACGCAGAGCAATAGAAGCGGAGGAAAGAAGGGAAAGGGAGAAGGAGGAAGAAGTCTCGCCCCCAGATGATGATGTGCGCTGTTGTATCATTGGGTACGGAATACTGAATTCCAGATGGGTTTGAGTGGTTTTGAAGCTATATTTCTTTGTTTGGTTGGTGGTTTGGAACATGAATTTTATGTTCTATTTCATATAATCCTTGCCATTGACGAACTCATATTTTTCAAGATTGTTATTGCACCACCAACCAGATATGGTTAGATATGGTTTTGATATGGTGATACAATGGGACACCAACCAGTTGTCAGGTACACCTCCAGGGATTTTTTGGAGGTAAAACCACTGCGTAATGACCAATCTGTGGGTGGCTTTGAGACCGTGACTGCTTTAGTAATACTCATAGGAAATGGAGGTTTTAATGGGAAAACCATGGGAAAACCATAGGAAAACCATAGGAAAATGGAGGTTTACCCTCTGGTTATGTCTAACATAGCTACTGAAAATGGCCATTGACATAGTGGATTTGCCCAGGTATAAAATGGTGGATCTTTCCATAGTTATGTCAGTCTACCAGAGGGTAGTTTCTAATTGGCAGATGGGTCTGGTTCGGAGAATTGAGCGAAGCTTTGATGACTTTTGCTGTTGACCCATGGCCATTTGTGCTGATGCTATCACCATGTTTCTTATTGTTTGTCGCATGATCGCATCCTGATTGTTTTTCTTGTTAAATCATGTTCAGTCCTAATTTTCAGCCATGTGGCCATGCTTGTTCCGCTTTTCAGCCGTGCTCCTGAAAGGAAAGAATCAGAGCTGCACTAGAAGCTGAGAAGAGAAAGGAGCGAGAAAGGGAAGAGGAGGCTGTAAGCAATGGCGCATGTTGCTGGTTTGAGGGAATTATCTAAGGGTACCCCCGAAGGTGTAACATACCTTCGCAATAATTGGGCTTTAGCAAACAATTTAAGGGGGGAAAGAGTCCACACAAGAAAGCCTTAATTGTTTGGGCAGCTACAGACCCTGGGGGGTCTTTGGATTTCCATATATGCTCTTGATTGTTTTTGGTGTTTCGGATTCCTATGAGATTTCTGATCATGGAGTCGTTTGGTTCAGGAAAGAATGGAAGCAGCGCTTGAAGCTGAGAGAAGAAAAACAAGAGAAAGGGAAGAGGAGGCTTTTACTATTGACAATGTACGTGTTGCAAGCACTGTACTTATCAAAGCACTGTATTGTTCATTTGGTATACTGGATGAGCCTGCATGAGGTTTGCATTTGTTTTGAATGTTTTGGATGCTAAAATTTACCTCATGGAGTCCTTTCCTTCAGGAAAGAATCAAAGCAGCTATAGAAGCAGATAAAAAGAAGGAAAGAGAAAGGGAACAACAGGCAGCAGCCATTGCGATTGTCTGAGCTGAGGCAACCGCCCATGGTAACCCTAAAATCAACAAACAAAAATTGGAGGTATATATACCCCCCTTTTCAAGTAACATCAAGTAACCCATATCCTTGTGGAAATATGGCATGGATTGTTGACCCTGGCCTTTTTTCTGGCACAATTGATATGACTCATGCAATTCTTTTGTTCAGGAGAGAGCCAAAGCAGCAATAGAGGCAGAGAAGAGGAAGGACAGAAGAGAAGAAGAAGAGGCTTTCAATCACACATTACGCTGTAATCACACTCCAGATGCTTCGTGAAGATTGACATGAAACTGAAACATCGCGACTCCATGTGGAAACCCATTTTTAGGAATCAATCGTGAGCCTCCAACAAATATATGTTGATAGTTGCCGTGACTACACTTGTTTGATGATAGTGATGGTGATGGTTGATGTCTGATGATTGATGATTGATGATGATGATGATGATGGTGATGATGTTTGATGATTGACGATTGATGATTGATGATTATGTTCATTATCATGATCATGATTTCGAGGCTTGATGATTGAACGATGGTTGATGGTTGATGGTTGATGATTTTTGATTGATGATGATGATGATGATGGTGATGTTTGATGGTTTATGGTTGATGTCTGATGATTGATGATTAATAATTGTGAAGGTGATGATGATGATGATTGATGATTGATGAATGATGAATGATGATTGATGATGATGGTGATGATGATGATGAGGATTGAGGATTGAGGATTGGGGATTGGGGATTGGGGATTGGGGATTGATTTTGATTGCTGATTGATGATTGATGATTGATGATTGATTGATGATGATGTTGATGATGTTGATGGTGATGATGATGATGATTGATGATTGATGATTGATGATTGATGATTGATCATGATGAATGATGGTTGATGGTTTATGGTTGATGGCTGGTGATTTTTGATTGATGATAATGATGATGATGACGATGATGATGATGATGGTGATGAATGATGGTTGATGGTTGATGGTTGATGATTTTTGATTGATTGATTGATTGATTGATGATGATGATGGTGATGATGATGATGAATGATGGTTGATGGTTGATGGTTGATGATTTTTGATTGATGATGATGATGATGATGATGATGTTTGATGATTGATGATTATGATCATGATCATGATCATGATTTCGAGGGTTGATGATTGAACGATGATTGATGATTGATAACTGATGATGGTGACGATGACGATCATGATCATGATCATGTTCGTGATCATGATGAATTTTCAATATGACATGTTAATGAATATTAATATGATGAATCTGAGTATATTTATGACTATCAAAAATGAATATGCATTTGACGACGATGAATTTTTTGAAAACTATGAACATGATGAATATGAACATGAAGATGACGATGATGAATATGATAAATAATATCAATTCCTATCATCATTTTTAAATGTTGATATAAACACGTTGTTTTTTATCCAGGACAGGTGTCAATCTTCCGACGCTGAGAAGAAGACAGAGGATGACGAGGCTAAGGCGCTGCCCTAGAAAAGGTGGCCACAACGAGTTAATATGGCTAATTATGGTGAATAAGGGGAATCACCCCCAATTGACCTTACTTCAGGTTATCGTGAATTATTGCTATTATTTACCCAGTTGTGTTTTTATATGTTTTATTCTAATGGTAGTTTGATATTGTTTTGTATGGGTATGGTTAAAACGGGGATAATAGTGGGATAAGAGGAGATTTTCAATGGGTTATCCGGTAATCAAACACGGCAAACTGGGAACTCCCCTACATTTGGCCATTTCTTCATTTAAAATCATCGAGCTAAATGGGATAATTTTCCTGCAACACATGTTTGACTACCAGAGCTTAACAGGTAAACATTTTAATTGGGGATGTTAATGGTGTTCCCATAATTTTCAGACCTAGACATCTTTGTTTGTTTAATATGGTGACATGTCAGTCATGTCAGCTCTTACTTTGCTTCGGAGCAGTTTCTCTTGCTGTCTCGATGTTCAGGAAAGATCTGAAAGAGCTCAAGAGACTAAGAGAAAGGAAAGAGAGAAGGATGAGGAGGCTAAGAAACCAAAGAATGGGTGTTTTATTTTTCCAAATGTTGATTGGTACTTGGTCAGAATATCTCGCCATATGGTCAGGAAAAAGTGAGTTTGATTCCACAGTCCTCATCTTCCCTTTCTTTGGTTTGATAGACTCCTGTATGCTGTTGGTTCTACGTAATGGTTTCCTTCCTTGTAATAACGACGTTACCTGTTGACATCCATTCATGTTTGTTGGTTAGACTTCCATCTTGCGGTTCAGTTTCATTTCCTACTTCATCAGAAGAGACATATTTTTTTGCTTGCAAAAAAACGTTATAGTTATCAGGGATAACAACACATGTGCTAAAATAATTGTTGATTTTGTCACTTCTTGTGTGAATTTCTATCCCAAGGTGGCCCAAGATGTTGTACCGTTACAGTAATTACATCTGGTTTCAGAACTCTTCAAGAACGACCTTTGTACATCCAGAATCATCCATTAAACGCCCATTGTTCTTGGTTAAATTTCCATGTTCATAATGTAAAATACGGTGTGTGTGTATATATATATATGCATTAATCATGACATATATCATTCAGATCATTATCTATTCTATGTAACTTTAAACACCAATTTGTACTTGTTTAGGCGGCCACTTTCCTTCAGATCTGCACGGCGCAGGATCGCCTGGCGATGGAGGTGCAGCTGCTGCTCGAACCGCCCAGCTCACTGCCGCAGGTCCTGCAAGAACTGGAGGCGGAGCGAGCCGGGCATAGCAGTAGTGGGATGTAGCATGAAATATCAACCATCATATTAATGGATATTAATGGATATTATTGGTACATAGGGAGTTGATGGGTATTTCTGTTTAAGGATCAATATACTGTTAATGGGGATATATATCAACCAGATTGTATCAACCATCATGTTAATGATCCCCATTATAGTATTATATCCCATTAACTATAGTATCTATAGCATTATATCCCCATTATATCCCCAGTAACTATGGGATATATCTGTTAATGGGGATATAATGGGGATATAATGGCTGGTTGGTGGTTTGGAACATGATTTGTTTTCCATCTATTGGGAATAATCATCCCACCTGACGAACTCATATTTGTCAGAGGGGTTCAAACCACCAACCAGTTAATGATATAAAGTTCTGGTTCATAGGTATTTTTCTGTTGAAGTTTTGACGGAAAAGATGGTCTGACTAGACGTTTCAAGTAAACTAAGTAAACCCCAAAAAGACAGAACAACTGGTTCAATTCTTCTCTATTTGAGTAGGATTTTACTTTTCCGAGAAATGATTGAAACATAACTTGGAATTTTTCACGAACCACCCTTTTGGGTGATCCCTCTCCGAAAAAAACGATGGTTCGGGGTCAAAGAAACGTGGTTGGTGGTTAGCATTCGTCCTCAATAAGCCCATTCCAATGGGATATACCCTCTGGTTATTTAACATAGCCATGGGAAATGGCCCATAGAAATAGATGGTTTACCTATTAAAAATAGTGTTTTTCCATGGCTATGTTAGTCATAACCAGATGGTAATATAGAAGCAACAGCATCAACATGCTTGGGTCGACCCACTTGAAGAAGGGTATCAATTGGGGCAGGCATCCAAAGCTCACTATCTCAGCCCGCGCTGGCTCTAGGCCCGCATCCAATCGGCTTTAGCACTGGGCACGAAGAAAGAGGCTTTGCGGATGGGACAGTGTCCCCATTTGGATAGGTCAAAACATTTACCATCTGGTTATGACTAACATAGCCATGGAAAATCACCATTTTTAATAGGTAAACCGGTAAATCATCTATTTCTATGGGCCATGGCTTCCATGGCTATGTTAGTCATAATCAGATGGTATCGATTGAACACATAGGCAAATGTTTGATGTTACCCCTTTGATGTTGGATGGTATCCCTAGCCTATCCGGTTGTGAATGGAGGAAAGCAGCTGTGGTTGCATCAACAGTTCCAATATACAGTATCGGATAGAGCTGGATATAGTGGTGCCCTCCGGCTATAAGCTGTTTCTTCGGCCGATCTAAGACCATTGTTTACTATATATAGATGAGATGATATCTACCATAAACAACCATAAACCCTAGAAAACCCGCTTATAGACCAACTTTTGCTAAGTAGGGGGGGACCAACTTGAACATATGAATTGTCCAACTGAAAATGAATAGCATATAAGATGTCCAAGTGAGTGATGATGATCATCCTGAGAATATCTTTATCAGAAGTGACTTAAGCCCATATCGAGAGCTGTGAGATTTCCCCACATGAAGTGGATGGGGAAGTCAGCATCCTTAGGTACCCCATTCTTTTGATGTGAAAACCACCAAGTGGCGGTCTCAGTTGTAAATTGCTTGATAAATGCCATGGACTGCAGATATATTTGCCACAACCAGAACAACCTGGATTTAAGAGCTTCATAGAGCAGCGACACATCCCTGGTTGATTCGAAGATTCGTTTGTGTGGGGATCATTAACGTATCTGGTTTATTGATGTTTATTGGCGACTATCATCATGCATGCATTTTTGGGAATCTTCACTTATTAGCTAATCAATATGAGGGGATGATGGGATGTGTTGAACACTGTTTGGACGTGACCAACCGCTTGTTCGTCCAATGTGGATGTGCCTAACAGTAAGGCTGTTCTGTAATGGTATTTGTCAAACGGGGGAACCTGACACACCAAAAGAGCAATTGATTCACATTCAACACACGATCCCGTGGGCTTCCAGTTGGCCTTGGTCATGGATACCGTGAACCGCGCATAGTCACGAAGCCGTACTCGGCGACGACCAAGGCTGTGCTCATGTACAACACCCATTCCGAGTGCATCCATATGGTTAGCATTGCCCCGAGAAGAAAACCCATATGAATTTGTACAAAGATATGTTGCTGCTTTCTGACTTTTGGTTCTTTTGGATTGATTAATATGTTGGGGGCGATGGTAGGGCTCCAACCAACCGAAGCCACAATTGGGATACCTCCAGCTGCTTTCAGGGCTGGAAACCAGCAACTAGAAACAGGGGTTTCCCTGCAAACCCCACGTTCGCCCACCCCCAAATAACACACCCAAACAATTTCATGAACCTGTCACCACAGGATGAATGCTGTACGCAGTGATTTTGACTTTAAGCCTTTAGGAATTTTAATTTAAGGTTTAGGGTTTTAGGGTTTCAAGGGTTTAGGGTTTTAGGTTTTGGAAAGTAAAAAACGCTAACCTTACTAATTGGGGATTTGAGCATGTCAAAGGATATACGGGATCTGTTGCGGGCAAACATGGGGTTTGCAGCGAGCATGTTTAACAATTTTGAAGATTCAAACAAAAAAAGGATACACTGCCAAAAAAGATCAGGTACAGCCGCCCAAACACGGAGTGATGAAGTCAAGAAATTGAGTACATCCAAAAATGTTGGGACAGCAAAAAGATGGAAAAAGACGACAATATATCTACCGTCCAAGAGATATGACATTCCCAAAGTCATTGGTTTAAAAGTATATACATGTTTTCCGTGCTTAATTGGAATCGGGGTGATAGTGATACCTCATTTTAAGACAGAGATACCTGGAATTGTTTGGGTGCAGTTATGTTATGATCAATTCAATCCCCGTGTTTGTTGGTTCAGCCCTATTACGATTGGTTTATTTACGAATATGGTGTCAACTTGTTCGTTGCATCCCATTGTATTCCATGATATTGATATGCCTATCATATTCTTGTACTGGTTGCTTTTATTCCGCTGTAAATATCATGAAATGTCAGCACATTTTGTTGGTTATATTAATTCCATTAATGATTGATTGTCAAATCCCTACTCAGATGGAATTATACAATCCCAACTTTTGTGGACACCACCCTATTTTTTGCTCATTCGATCCGCTGGGGTATGATGGTGAAAATTCCCGACATGTTGATTGTAAGACTTTGTCGAAAGCCTAATTTTTGTCGAAACCCGAATTGTTGTGGCTTAGATCAGTTAGATCCGGATGGTCAAATCATGTCAAATCATCATTTTGGATCAAATCCACGTCATCCCGGGTCATCCATAGTCATCCCCCCAAACGGATCCCGGACACGGATCCCAAGAGGCGGCACTTGGCTCCCCGGCGGACCTCGAAGATCGCGGCGCTGGCGCTGGCATTGCTGAAAGCGTGGCTCAGGACCTGGGGAGAACTGAAGTTATACTTGTTATATCTTTTTATTATAGGGATCCCTATAGAGACTCTATAGTTAACTATCCCAACGCGTCCAGTTACCTGTATATTAGGAACTGGCCTAGTTACCAGTGTCACAGAAAACCAGAGTTTGGAACCGGAACCAGGCACCACGGTTCAAGATAAATTTGAATATATTTTGTGAGTGCTCTATAATACATGTTCTGAACGCTTTGAGATCAACCTTTCCACAAAAAACATGATATGGAACCCTTAGGAAACTGTGAGGAAATGGGCTGGAACCGTGAGAAAAGGTGGTGCAACCGTGAGAGAAAAGCGGTGGAACCGTGAGAAGAGCTCTGCACGTTTATGAGACACAATATTGTGGTTGCCTCACGGTTTTATTTCAGATTATTTTCGGTTATCATCAAAAGAATCATAGTGTTTATCATGGTTCCTATGCGTGGTTCCTCGCCATATTGCCTGGTTCCTACGGAACCAGTCGCCGGGGCCCAGTTACCTATGAGACAAGCCCCCAGGAGCCCTGGGGTATAGTATGTATACCATATACATCCATATATGGGGATCATTATAGGTATACCGTATACCATATTACTATTTTATCTATCGGCTTTATTAATCCCTTCCTCCTAATACTAAACCCCCCCCCCTAATACAAAACACGGCAGGTAGTTTTTAGTATTAGGGGGGTATTTATTATTAGGGAACCAAATCGAAGTCATGTTAATTAATTAATTAAATTTCCTTATATAACGCAATTAAAATATTGCCAAAAATGGCAGTTCGAAGCTTACCCCTAATACTAAATTAAAACCCTTAATACTAAAAACTATTTTTTCCGATCTCAAAATCAATTAAATTTCCTTATATAACGCAATTAAAATATTGCCAAAAATGGCAGTTCGAAGCTTACCCCTAATTGCTAGAGTAGCTAGGCAGCTTGGAGTGAGGGATTGGGACTAGGCCCCCCTAATACTAAACACCCCGGGGTGAACTAGTTTTTAGTATTAGGGGGGAGAACCCACAAATGGTAGGTTGATTTTTAAATTGTTTTTTAAAGGGGATCAATTAAAAGTCAAATTGGCCAAACTGAAATTTTCGGAAATTGGAGATGGATGCCTGTTTTTAGTATTAGGGGGACGTTTAGTATTAGGAGGAAGGGATTATAGAATCATAATCGTAACTCATTGCTCCGGATACCATTCTTAGCCAAGCAGTATTTCAGGTGGAAAGTCATACCCTGATCACTGGCGCTACACATGGATCCTGCAGTACCTTTTGAGGGACTAGGGGGTTGATGATGGATGCGACTAGGGGATCTTTGGGGTGTAATAACAAATGTGTACCCTATGTGTACCCTATCTCAGCAAATATGCGGATCGATTTGGTGCCATAATTCCCCACATTGACCTCAAATATCCAAGATGTTGTACCTGGTTTGTGCATATTGAACACTTCGATATGTCACATTTCCATGGCCTGGGTGCATCGACAACAATCACAAGATCACAGATTCTGGGTAAGCTTGGTTGGGTAATGTCATTTGTTTTGTCATTTGTTTTGCAATATTCTGTTCATAGCGGAAGACACATGGCTGTTTTGTTTTATTTCATAAAAGGCATTAAAGCAACTCAAATATGTCAATATGACTTAAAATTCCATAAACTATAATAAAACCCTTATAATATCTTCTTATAACCAACCACAGATTCTGTCATGACATCTTTTTCCGAAAGCCCACCGCTCCAGGAGGTTTCCTTCAATTTTCGCACTGAAGCGCCGGCGCTTCCCAGTGTGCCGGCAGCGCCGGTTGCGGCGCTGGCGTCCCCACGGGAGCCACAGGGAAGGAAGGCATGGAAGGGCATGGATGGAGCAAAACTGTTTTTTGTTCGGAGAAAACTTAAAACATGTCACAACACTTATATAAACATATATATATACACATAATTATATTATATATCCCTACAAACCCGAAAGACCAGTTTAACCTGTCCACATTGGTTAAGAACAAGTTTAACTTGATCATTTGAAATTGCGCTCTCCGATCACATTTCTAAATCCTTCTAACCACTTGCTGTCAACACTTTAGCAACATCACTGTTTTGAATCTATTTTGAGAGAAACTTGGTTCATAGAGACATGCATATAGTGCTATGACAGACTGCATTTGATATTGGGAACCTGCAAAAAGATGGAAACCATTTGCCCATTAATGCATGTTCATTGAGCGTCCCCGGATCATTCACGGGTGCTTCACGGATGCTTCACGGGTGCTTCACGGGTGTTTCACGGGTCGCTCACGGTACAAAATCAGTTTTTCGGGTCTCTAACCCAGTTTTTGTGTCTCCAACACACTGGTCTCACGGGTGGTTCACGGGTGGTTCACGGGTGGTTCACGGGTGGTTCCCGGGTGGTTCACGGGTGGTTCACGGGTCGTTCACGGATGGTTCCAGGGTGTTTCACGGCTTGTTTCGGGTTGTTGACGGGACGTTCACGGGCTGTGGGCAGCTGTAAAGGGCGATTGCAAACAATGAAATTGATATAAATTGATACCAAGAGCCCTGGAACTCAACCAGTTGGGAGAATGATTTGCAGTGATTTGTCGATAAAACGCATTTGTCCACTGCATCAACGGAGCTTTGGTAAAAATTAGCTCAAGTAAAGTACGTTCTTTTACAAGTAAAACATGTTCATTGAAACGATCAAGTTTAACGAGGTCTTTGGTTCGCAGGGTATATATATATACTTTTATAAGTAAAGATAACATGTAAATATGGTAAATATGTTTCTTGAAAATGAATAGAATCCAATTAGGAAGGGGGCAAACCTTGGGAGATCTCGAATACATGAATGGGGTTTATACCAGTAGAACAGATTACTGTAGGATTTTCACATGCAAACATGGAACCATATGGAACCGTAAATGCCGCAAATGCTGTCGGTAGTGCATGATTCATGGGTTTTGCAGTTTTTAGATGTTTTTAGTACTAATGGAGGACTACTACCCCGCAAAAAAAATGACGTGTTCTTGGGGTATCCAAGGTTAGACATGTTTCTTCGCAGACTTGTTAGGAATATCAGGGATGGGATAGGGGTTGAACACTTCTCAATTTCACCCCTCTTAAAGGTGGACACCCTGATGATGTCCGTGGAAGGCTTCTGGATCTCTAAAGGATATCTTCTGGAAGGTAGATTCCAAGGTGGAATAGGGAAGGTGGACAAGGTGCAAAAGCTCCAGCTGGTTTTGGCGATGTTTGGACGAGGGGAGCGCCTGGTCTAGTTTTTATCCATATCATTTCCAGTGTGAGGCCAGGGCTCTCCTGTCACATGCTGTCACCGTATGTTTAAGGCTTGAGTAACTCAGTATGTCACCGCCCTCCAACTTCAACAAAACAGTGCAAAAGGTTTTCCACTCGGGTTGTGGACACTACTTCTCCAAGCTACACCGGATGATGCTCACACCATGGCGATTTCGGCAGGCGCGCGCCGTGCAACAGCGGTCCCCTTCGCCCGGTCCGCGGGCGCCGGCGGCGGCGCCACCCAAGGTGCAGCAATGCCCCATGGTTAATGATACGCGATGATGAATAATTTGGGTAAATCAATGTCATAAACCAGCCATGACTGGGAATGGTAAACCTACAACCTTTAAAAATTCTGATGACTGGGGGATGGTGCAAATGGCATTGTTTTACCCACATTTATATAATGGTATATTCAAACACCCTATGGTCACAAATATGTGGCTTCATATCATACTAAAGCATGGTTTCGAAGAGGGGTGTTTAGGAGGAAAGGGGGATGGGATTACAAAGGGCCAATTGTGGCTAGTTGATGGCCGATTACTAGGCATATTGTAGCAAATTAACTTTGGCGATTTCCATCCTATAAATACCACTTGCTCTCTTATTTGATGGATGTTGTTGGTTGTGAGGTATCTATAGGGCATAGTTTGGCTGAAACGTTGTTAATGTTCACTTGGTTCATTAACTGGGGGTGCCAACTTTGAAAGTAGTTCATCACTATGTTGGGGACCAGCCCTTTAATGAACTGGGATTTATTGTTCTGTTCACTGGTTGACTTATACAGGCCAGAGGCCCCCACGGCTCCATGGAAGGTGGCACTAGGATGCCCCACGTGAAGTTGCGCCAATGTTGGCGAGAGAACTTACAACACTGCCAACCTGGGAAGGCCATTGGGCATGACATGATACCACCCGAGGTCTGCAAGCACAACGCAGTTGACTTGGCACGCCTGTCCTATGCCCAGCTCCTGAAATTGGCACTGCACGGCCAGGAAGCGATTGTACACAAGGGCGGCAAGTTGGTGAGCACCCACAAGAGCAAAGGGCCACAAGATGAGTGCGGGTCTTATCATAGCTTGCTTATCTCCACCCATCAAGGAAAGGTCCTTCACCGCTCCCTGCGCCAACACCAAGCTGACCTTTATGAAGGGTTTCTCCAAAGCCAGCAAATTGGAGGACGCAGACACGTGCCAGTGACGCTTGGACTCCACCATGTGGGGTCATTCATGCGGATCCAACATCACAAGGGCTTTTCTTGCTGCGTCCTTTTTCTGGACTTGAAAGAGGCGTTCTACCGTGTCTTGAGGTCATTGACACATGTAGCTGTTTTGACCATTGGTTTCCCTTGAGCAAGAATAACCAATCACTTGGCTGCTAACTTGGCCCCCATGGCAAGTCCGCATGATTGTTGGTTTCATTTCAGGTTTTATGGGCCCCTCAATGAGCCAATTCTGCGTTCTTGGCAAGAAATCATTCATGGAATGCTACGGTTGGCAACAAAAGCCATGTGCCACTTCCACAGCACCCTGTCGACAAGCTGGCAACGGCATATATCATGTAGAAACACGGTGGAATTTCAAGTGTTGTTGGATGGACCTTCATGAATCACCAGCATTTTCTTTTGGAAGCTTCAGCCCAACACGGTAGATGATTTTCCATTAAAGGTTAGGATCTGACAGGAACATAAATTGACATTCATTTTTTTGCCTTTGATCTATAAGACTATTTAAAACATTTTAAAACTGATAAGGATACCTAGCAATTTCCAATAGTTAACCATCCTTCCATGTCATTTTTGCGTTAATTCTATAGTGATGATATCCATGGCACCATGGCAGGTGTTTCTTAGACAACCTGCAGGGCCCCACTTTTTTTTTTCCGCAGGTGCCGATCCTTTCCGAGGTGCGGAGATGAGCATCAACGATGATGGGATTTTTGTGGGATGCTTAATGTGGATACAATGGGAATATCGTGGGAATATCGTGGGAGATCCTATTTTCAATCCATAAATGTATTCCCATTGTATCTATCCTATTTTTTTTCAATCCATAGCTATGCTATTTTTCTGACTGTTCTGAGTCAAAACGTTTTACAGCCCTTTGCTTCACCCGCGTATTTACAGCTGGCCGATGTTTCGAATCATCCCGCTAAAGATGGCGTTTATAGGTGATCCATATAGATTTCGGCCCAGCACTTACCAGTTAGTGAATCTGTGATCCGCAGAAGGTTGGGACCCCGTAACTCATCATGGATTTGTCCTTTCGAGACATCCCGGTTGGCAGCTGCTTCAACATAGCGGCGGAAGTGGAGAAGGAGCACTATGGCATCTTGAGCTGCCGTGGTCTATCACCAATTCAGCCTTTTGAGATTCATGCTGCCCCGCAGTTGCCTCGTGGCATTTACACGTTCTACGACCTTGAACGTGCAATGGAGGACCAGCATGTGTGTAGGTTTGGGAAAGACACCGAAGCCATCTCTCACCCACCAAAAGGGGAATTTCAAACGGTCAAGATCTTTGATGTGTGCAGTGGTATTGGGGGTTTCACCATGGGGTCACAGATCCTGGGGATGCCCACATTGGCTTTCGTGGAGATCAATTCACTTGCTTGTGATGTGCTTCGCACAAATTTCTCTAGCCCTGTCATTGAAGGGGATTTGGCCTCTCTTGATGTGGTGAAACAGATGCACCGTTTGAAAGGCACAGACCTGCTTCAGGTCACAGGAGGGTTTCCGTGCCAGGGATTCTCATGCCAGGGAGACATGCAGGGGCTGGATGACCAGCGCAGCCACACGCTGTACCACATCTTGAACTGCGCATGGCTCTTGCAGGCTGACTCGATCCTGTTGGAGTGTGTTGCGAATGTGACACAGTTCATCAACACACAGGACTATATCACCAGATATGCAGATCATGCATCTATGCATTGTCATCGTCTTGTTTTTGATTTGCAGCGTCAGTGGCCTATGCGTCGACACCGCTTCTGGTGTCACATGATCTCCAAGACCTTCAATGACATTGACATCCAGCCCTGGCCAACCACCTTGGAGTTCACTAGTGTTGCCAGCGTTATGCCCATGGATTCTATTTGGCCAGAGACTGATGAGCACCATCTTGCTTGGGATCCTGTCGAGCTCAGCATCTACATGAACCCTGCATATGGCGATGACCAGAGATTGCTTTTACCACATGACAAAGCACCCACAGCACTCCATTCATGGGGACATGTGGCTCGTGACTGTCCTTGTGGATGTCGCCCAGCCTTCAGCGACAAGCGTCTTCGATCTGGGGGTGCAAGAGGATTTGGACTTTTGTCCTCTGTCACCGGACGTCATCGACATTTACATCCACAAGAAGGGGCGCTTTTGTGCACAGTACCACCTTGCTTTCAGTTCCCAATCCCTCCAAGGGCTGCCCTCTGTTTGTTGGGCCAGATTGCGGCACCTTTGCAAGTCCTATGGCTGCAATCGCACATTCTTGCTGGACTACAACAGCAACATTGGGGTTGGACACACATTGATCCTTTGGCCTGCATCCGTGTCTTTCAGGACTATTTGACCTCCTATGTGAAGGCTTCCTGGATTACCCTCGGCATGTATCAACCCCGATCCATCTGGCTGCACATTGAGGGTGAAGGACAGATCACTGAAATCAAAGTGCATCAACCTGTCACAGCCCAGGCCTTGGCCAACGCAGAAAAAGAGCTTTGTGGATGGGGACACTATGCCATCATCAAGCACATGGATCAGAGACTGCCACCAAATGCCTATCTCCAATCTGATATCCTTTACACGATTGAGCTTCGACGCAGCAAACATGTCCTGCCTTTCTCCAACTACGTGCCGATCACTGGAGGTGGGACGGAGCTCAGCCAGCAGTGTTTGGGCGATCAGATCATTTGGAGATTCATGAGGGCACTTCGTGATCATGCGACTGTTGGTCTCAACATGCTCATGCCCTTCATGCTCTACCCTTTCAGGGGCCGTCAGCTCATGCGACTGAGCATCCCCATTCAATTCCAGGAGGACACCAAGAGCATTTACCACAATACTGATGGGCGGGTTTTCCTCATCTGTGAGCTCAATGACCATTGGATTTTGCTGGTCGGAGAGCCTGTCATGCAGAATGGACTTTCATGGACCTTATACGATGGACTTCGACAAGGTCAACTGCATGAACCAGGGCTTCAAGTGGCCACCAAGATCACAAATCTCCTTGGCAAAAACTTTGTGGGCCTGCACCTGGGTGATGGACTTCTTCAAAGGCATCAGACTTCATGTGGCACCATAGCCCTCCTCCAACTGGCCATTGAACTTGGACTTCTTTCAACGGCTGAGGAGGATGAGGTTACCTCCATTCATCACTGGCTTTTGGGTCTCCAGACTGAAGGTCATCTCTTTGCTGGGGGTGCCACTGACGTTCAGAAACAATTGGCCGATCTCCTCACCTCCAAGGGGGTATCAGAGCAACGTGGAGCGGAAAGGGCACAGCAAGCCATCTCTCGTCTTGGCCTCACCACTGTCCAGAGCATTTTGAAAGCCAAGAATCCTTGGGCTGACTTGAAAGCGGCAGCCAGCAGACCTGGCATGATGTTCCGTCTTCTGACCCAAGAGGAACAGAACCAGTACATCACAGCAAGGGCACAAACCAAACATGGGGCCCAAATCAAGGATCACAAGCAGAAGAAGATGTCCAGGAGTGCTGCCAAGCCGGGCCCAGTGTGCCTTGATCCTGACCAATTTACCTTGGACAGTTCCCACTTTCAGGACGAACAAGAAGTCCCGGTGGACAGATCCAGTTTTCTGAGGTCAGATCTGACCAGCGGGGAGTGGCACTTTGCACAACGACAATGGCACAAGAATTCTTGCAGCAACCCAAATCCATCAGCATCGATGCCCTGGCACTGCTCTTGATTGACACCCCGGCCCAGGAGCTGATAGACAAGGCAAACCTGGACAAGATCATCATTCCTGCTAAATGCCAAGGAACAAACGAGCATACTTTGATCTTCGGGCACATTCTGCAGTTGGGTGACTGTACTGTCACCAGATCCCATGTTGGCAAAGGCTCTTGTCCTGATGTGATTGAGACTAGAGTCCTGAAGCTGCAAATCTTCAAGGACCAGCTTCAGGTGAATTGGCAGGACTTCTGTGCTGCACCAATACGTGCCCTGGTTGCCAAGATGGAAGCTCTACAACTCTGCCGTGGCCAACAATGCGGCACGGACTGTGCCAAGTTTCATCCTGGACTTGATGAACAAGTTGACAACGTGATCTTTGAGATATGGTCACGTACTTTCTTCAACGAGCAGGGCCACAAAACCACTGCAGCTGAGGCTTCTCTGTTCACGGCCTTTATGCGAGTTCCTGACGGAGCTTTGCACAGAATCCTTTCGACCACACCAGATGGAGTTTATGCTGAACCACGAGGTGCACTCCCTCGAGAACATGATGAGCGCTACTGCGTCATTTGGCTTCCTGGAGCTTCCCATGAAGATGCCCAGCATCAGTGCCGCACCTTCTCAAAATCCGTATGCCTGGTCAGGATGCGCCACAAATACGGCATCCGAGTGCTCAAGTCCGATGAGAAGATTGCTTGGACCCACTTGCGCCCTGGCATTGACTATGTGGACTTGGACATCCAACACATCTGGGAGCTTTTCCCCTTGCCACATGGCACACAGAAGCAGGCTATGGTGCGGCTTTTGAAAGACTGGGAATGGCATGCCCGGCCACTACAACCTGGGCGTGGCAACTATCAGCACATGTCTTGGCGAGTGGGTTCTCAGCAGCCTCCACCGCATCCCATCATGAAGGGCTTCCAGATGGATGTGATGATCTCACAGATCAAGGACCTGAAGATGGCTACTCCACAGCCACACTTGATCGCTACGTCCAAGACCAAGAAGCACCTCAGCACTGCAACCTCTTCATCAGCTAAACCAGCTCAATCCACTGATCCTTGGATGGAGACTGGCAAAGACCCTTGGGGTACCTACAAACCCAGAGGTGGTGCTGCAACTGCCAGTGACCCCAGACCACGACTGGAAGAGCTGAAGAGCCAGCTGAGCACAGACCTACGAAAAGATCTTGATCAACATGCTCAGGCAGCGGTGCAAGCAGCAGCAACAAGCTCAGGCAGCTGGACATCACCGCATGAGGATAGAATCCAAGCTCTTGAAGTTGGCCTACAAGAGATCAAAGGTCAAAATGCTCAATTCCACACCTGGTTTCAGCAGGCGGGTGAGCGGATGCAATCTACTGAGAATGCGGTGAGTGCAGTTCAGCATACTCTGAACTCACATCAGCATGAGTTACATGCGCTTGGTAGTACCTTCCAGAGCACCATGAAGAACATCAAGAATGATCTCTCGGCCGAGATGACAGACTCTTTCAACCAGCAGCTTAGCCGCTTGGAAGCCTTGCTGGAGAAGAAACAAAGATCAAGCTGACTAGGGCGGCCTGGATCCGGGCATGGGTCTACCCGGATGCCTAGGACAAGAACAAGACCTTTTTTTGGATTTCACTGGTTTTTGATTTGGCTCATGGTGATCGTCGCACCAACACATGCTCTACAGCAGAGATTTCCCTTTGCCCGGCACTACACCGTCAGCTCGGCAACTTCGGTTGACCGAGAACATGGGTCGGGGGATTATCTCAGCTATGTTCTGGAGCAAAAGCAAGGGCCTCAATCCTGTTTTCTTTCATGTTCCAATTTCCTTCACCTCTGGCCGCATACAGCCGGGACAGTACGATATGGAGAGGCCAGTCACCCTGGACCCTCTGGGGATAGCTTGCTGACTGTGGGTGTCAGCAACCCAAGTGGCTTGCGGCAGAAGGAGGACATCCTGCTGGGTTTGGGGCCTGGCATTTGGGCCTTATCTGAGACTCAATTGTCCCAGCAG